GTGGTCTCTTTCCTTTAGCTGAAGTCGACTTTGCTTGCACGTGAAATTGCACCAGCATTATTTTATTGCATCTTCAGTGAAAAAAAAGAAAAAGAAAATTAAAGCAACATATCTTCCCTTTATTCGAACTACATTCCAGTGGGCTCTTATTTCGTAGTTTCTTAGGCGCGCCCTTTCTCGTCGAACATTGAGGATCTCGTATGCTCCCACCACCACCACTATGTGATGTTCCAACGTCATATTCAAATTGAACAGATTGCTGGGACAGGACATTACTTCCACAACTCGACCTCATTGATGTCATCGTTTGTTTTTTATGTTCAATCCACTCCATTAATGCTCGTGTCTGTTCGTTATCATCTGCAACCATGTCTGCGAGCGTACTAAAAGATTGACAAATTTTGTCGTAATTCAACTGTCCAGGAGTACTACTCAACCCATCATAGTTGACTGCAACCCTCGTGTGGGCTCTACGCACATCCCGCCTCCACCTTTGTAATATATACTTTTCCGGAAATGACGTTACGTCATTACGGATCAAAACTGAAATTGCATGTCTGCAGATTATTCCACGAAATTCAAATAGACGGCAGCTGCAAGTAGTTTCACTCGTCTCTTTTCGAAATGTGACGGAAAATGTCTTTTTCCTCCTTCGCTCGTGGCACATCACATCCTCCCGAACCTCATAAATAGTCCCCGAAAATCCTTCCGAGGTAGACATGAGGTCACAGTATACCTTCCCGATGAACTCTTGTTGCACTTCCCTGTATTTGGACATTGTGTAAACGGCCTGAAACTGCTTCTCTATTTCATAAGTTGTTGTGCATGGTAACATTTGGGAATAAGATTTGAAATCGGCCTGAAACTCCTTCTCAACCTTATTTCTTAATGTTCGCTCGTACTGTTCAACAAATTGCTTTAGCGAGGTTTTTGGATGAACATACCCATCGAAGAATGCATTCATACTCTCACTGCGTTGGGTTGTTGACATTCCTGCCCAGAAAGTAGTTTTCAAATAGCAGGGAACCCATCGACCTCTTTGCTCATACAATCCGGACAACCATTCATTATCCTGCAAGCTGTATATTTCTATCATAACTTTCCAACCGTGTTCAAATTCTTCAATAGTTTGAGAATCATATACCAGTACATGGATAGCAGAGAATATAGAACCCTTAGTCGACGTGGTATCCAAACTTCTCAGGCAACTTCTTCATGATGTGCCACAAACACCATCGATGTTTCGTATTCGGGAACACAATCTCGATTGCATTTTGCATAGCCCTATCCTGATCAGTAATTATTCCATTGGGAGGTTGACCATGCATACACTGTAGCCACGTCCTAAAAAGTCATACAAATGTATTCGTATTTTCGTTCGATAGCAAATCACAACCAAGCAACGTTGATTGCCCGTGATGATTCACTCCAACGAAAAGGACAAACGGCATGTCATACTTGTTAGTGAGGTAGGTTGTATCGAATGTAACAACATCGCCAAACTCCTTGTAT